AGGCTACTATAGTATTGAATGGAAGGTTAAAGACTTACCAATCAGCTTGTCAGAATTTCGCGCGCTCAGGGACATCGTATCTCGAAGGACCTTGCACAACACTTTATTCAATACGTTTTATTCACTTCACTCAGTCCTTATTCACTTTATTCACATTGTTCACAATACTGACGAATTTACTAACGATAATAATTTCTAAATTGTATTAAAACACGATGCGCGTCGAACTGTCAAAGCAGTCGTGCCATTGACAAATGACGCTTCTCATGTCATGAGAGAAAATCAATACTATCGGAACGAAGTATGATCTGCTACATGAAATGTCGGTAAGAAATGTCGGTAAGAAAAAAACTAATTTTTCTTTAAATAAAAGTGTTTTTTGTTCATATATTAACACATATCAACAATAAAAATAATGAAATAACAACAATAAAAAATAATAACAATGAAATAAGAACAAGATATAACATTATCGTTATCCGGAACGAAAAATGATTAGTTACAACATAATTTTGCGACTGCTGCATCGGATGCGAGGAACAGGATTGTAATGACCAACAGACGAATCAATGTTGCCGTTGAACGTCACGCTCGTACAGTATCGAATAAAGAAGCGGTCTTGCAAACCGTAAACAATACACCCGGCTATAAGTGTCCGCGAATTGAGTTCACACATCAACTGCAAAAAATGCGCTAACTCTTATTAATGAAAAAATTAATGTTGCGTACCTATTACAAAAGATGTTCAAAATGTCCACCATCGCATTGGATGCACAATTGCGCACGTCTAATTAAGCTTTGCTGCGCGTTACGCAGCATTTCCGGTGTGACAATAGCGAATGCCTCAGTTATTTTTCTTTTAATTCTTCATAATTGTTAATCCGTTCTCGATAAACATATTCTTTTATTGTGCTCCAAAGAAAAAAGCCTAACAGAGTTAGATCTGGAGATCTCGCTGGCCAATTTACAGCACCTCCGCGGCCTATCCATCTATCCGGATAGCTCGCATCCAATACACGACGCGCGCGTATAGATGCGTGAGGCGGCGCTCCGTCATGTTGGAAAAACATTTCTAATCTTTGATTTAGCGGCACATTCTCCAATAATTCTAATAAATCCGTTTGCAAGAAATTGCTATAAAATTGTCCTGTGAGTCTCGCAGGCATTTCAAACGGACGAATCTGAAATGGTTACGTGAGAAATAAAATTCGTGGAACTTTAAACATTTTTGTACAAAATTGTAAAACTCACTATTGAAGTGTTTAATATACCAGCCCATAAATTAATGGTGAATCGATGCTGGTAACTTTTAATATGATATCCATGTGGATTTTCGTTTGCCCAGATGTGTGTATTGTGTGTATTAAATATTCCATCGCGCGTGAAACATGATTCATCAGTAAATAGGATGTTACTCACAAAACCAGGTTGATTTTCTTCGTTATTTAACAACCATGTACAAAATCTTACTCTTGAGATATAATCTTGGGGCAACAAATTTTGCACTTTCGTAAAATGATACGCGTGAAATTGATTATCATGTAATATGCGCAGTACTGTGCTTCTCGATATCGCCAATGATTGATTTTTCTCTTCATTTACGATCTACATGGTATATACTAAATGAAAAATGTGAAAACGAGATAACATAAAACGATCAATGTTGAGCAAAATGGATTTTACGCCGGTCGAATATAGCGACATGCTAATAATTTACGGCGAATATGGGCAAAACGCTCGTCAAGCCGCGCGCGAATACAACGTCCGTTACCCGGAACATAGAGGGATTAATTATAACATAATTTTGCGATTGTTGCATCAAGTGCGAGAAACAGGATCTGTAGTGCCCAATAGACAAATCAATGTTGCCGTTGAACGTCACGCTCGTACAGTACAGAATGAAGAAGCGGTCCTGCAAACTGTGGACAATACACCGACTATAAGTGTCCGCAAATTGAGTCAGGAGTTGGCGATATCGAGAAGCACAGTACAGCGCATATTACATGATAATCAATTTCACGCGTATCATTTTACAAAAGTGCAAAATTTGTTGCCCCAAGATTATATCTCAAGAGTAAGATTTTGTACATGGTTATTAAATAACGAAGAAAATCAACCTGGTTTTGTGAGTCCTCTTTACTGATGAATCATGTTTCACGCGCGATGGAATATTTAATACACACAATACACACATCTGGGCAAACGAAAATCCACATGGATATCATGTTAAAAGTTACCAGCATCGATTCACCATTAATTTATGGGCTGGTATATTAAATACTTCAATAGTGAGTTTTACAATTTTGTACAAAAATGTTTAAAGTTCCACGAATTTTATTTCTCACGTAACCATTTCAGATTCGTCCGTTTGAAATGCCTGCGTAAAATGATGAAGATACATAAATGTTTTTACATTTATGTATCTTCATCATTTTACGTGTTTCATATAATTTGCATTTGACATTACAACTTTTGTGGAGAAAAATGCCCGACATGTTATATGAAAGTGAATATATGTTATCTAAGATTTTTAGTTAGTACCAATTTTAAAATTATTGTGTGATTAATTGGCTGTAACAAATGCAGTGCAAAACTGACGCATTATCATTAATAAGATGGCATTTTAAAATAAGAATATTGTAATTTATTCAATCCAACATATTGTTAAATTTGGTTGATTTATTCTATATTTCCCCTTTTTTATCATTCTAATAATATTGGAAAACATTAAATGTACTTGATAGTTCCTACATTTGGTAATGAAAATTATAGCAATATATTTTTGTCATTATTAACTTATTAATGTACCTGCATTTATGTTTTTCTTTCATTTTATTATTACTAATTCTGTTCTAATACTTCATTATAATGACCACTTGGTACAATTACCATTTCTCACTTGTTTTCGTTGTATAAATACTATATTGCACACTTGCAAGAAAAGTGACATAAATCAAAAATACAAAATTGTTCAAAAGAAAGGGGTGGCGGAATTGCGTTAAGTCAAGATAGGTTAATAATAATGCGTCCTATTAATAACATTATGAATTGATTTTTATTTCAATCTCTATCGCAAATTATAAATTGTCAGAATCAAATTTAATTTTTACAGAAAATAATATCACATGTCACGTTTTGCCATAATTAAATTTTCCCACAGTGCACATTTTTGTTTCGCTTACTAAAGAGGGAATGTCGTGAATCAAAAAATCTAATGTTAATGAAACTTTTCGTACATATAGATGTGAGATAAACATATAAATATAAAAATTTTAAGTTACTATCAAAAACGATTTTAAGACGTAAACGCACCTCTCAAAGATTCAAGGGTTTTTGATTTTTTTCGATATTTTTCATAAACTATTTGAAATATTACAAAATGTATTATACAAAAATTTTATAGTAAGAACTTTTCTATTTATTGCGACTAATAGAAAAATAATTCTCTTCCAATTTTGCCTTTTGCATCCTTTATGTCGATGAAAATTTTGTGCATTATAACATAACAGGAAAATATTTTTAATCTGAATATTGACAGCTATTTATATATAATCGCAATGATCAAACAAAAAATTTTTTATTGAACAGTATATGTTTAAATAAATATATGTTGGAATAAACTATTACAGAGCAAAAACAAGCAGACTTTTCTTATGTAATTTGGGTATGCGCTATCGATTGAGCCTATTGCCAACTCAATCGGCCCAGCCGTTATCGAGATCCGATAATCTCGGCTCGTCTCAACTTTCGGGCTCGCGTAAAGATACACGGTCGGTCTTGCGCTTGCGTTGCGCGCTGCGCGTGAACTTGGCGCGAGACACTACCGTGTCTCTTGATCTAATAGTTCATTAAATAAGTCGAAAATTGAAAACTGAAAATTTTTTTACTCTTGTATTTACCGCATTTACATATGTACAAAATTTTATTGAGATCAAAATTTCTGGGTTTGCTTGATTCATCAGTTGCACTTTGTCGCATAAAGCAGTCAAAATCTCTACATCAAATAATCTTGAAGAATGGGAGTAAAAATATTTTAAAAATTGATAAATTTTCAAGCAAAATATGCATTGTGTGCTACTTATATGACGGCAATATGAAAAACATAAATACGCAATTTTAAATATACACATCTATATATAGAAGCAAATAGAAAATTCATTAAATCTGGCTGCAATAAAATTTACACGTTCAATGCAATATTTTTCATTACAAATATTCGAATGCATTTACGGCGACGACATTTATCTCATAATAAAATACTTGTAAAGGAAGATGGCATGTCTCATTTGAGTTTCAAATTAAAGCATAGGTAGCATGATGATTATTGCGCACATTGCAAAGAGTGTGGTCGGATCTTAAAGCTTAGTTTTTTGGGACATATAAACACGTACTTACTCGAAAGATATCTAGGCACACGCGTAGTAGAACAACACCACACAGATATACAAACAGAAACCAATGTGCCTAGGCTATCAACAAGTACACGACGATAAAGAAAAAGCAACGGTAAGTTTTTTTAATACTATTATATTAGAAATTTTTATTAATTTTAAAGCATTATCTTATGTTGCCACGTTCGTTCTTTTTTTCTTCTTACTTAGTTATTCGATATTACCATTGCATAAGAATTATAAGATATGTATGCATATAAAAAGGCCAAAATGTCTACACCAAACGATGAAGAAGAATGGGAATTGGAATATTTTGAAAAGCTGAAGAATTTTCGAGCACAATGTAAATTGTGTCCATGTTCTAATCGAACCATTTATATGTACCGCGATATGACGAAGGTGAATAATCATTTCAGAGTTCACCGCCACCCAAATGTAGACATGAATAGAATTCGTCATCCGAAATGGCATTATTTCAGAGAAACTGACGATTCGCGCATGCAATGTAATTATTGTAATAAGAGTTATGTGATCAACAGTTCATGGACACTATTGAATGCACATTTAAATAAGGAACATGGCATACATGCAAATGTAGAAAAACGTTTTCAATCGAGTTTTATATGGAATTATATTATAGAGCTTGATAAAGATACTGTGATGTGTACTGAATGTTTTGCTATGATTAAAGTTGCTCGTCTGTATGCTTTACGTATTCACATATTTAAAAAACATTTAGATGTGTTGGAAGAAAATCGAAATCCACAAGGAGAAACCAATATGCCTGTGCCATCAACAAGTGCACAACGTTAAAAAAAAAGAACGGTAAGCTTTAATATTATATTTGAAATTTATACTTTTCTTGAGTCAAGCTTAATATATTTTTATTGTGTGCATACCTCAAATAAAAAAATTAATATGCCTTTCTAATAAGTATTAAAAAATTTTTCATAGATTTATCCCATCCAGATTTGCCAAAGGTTTTATATTCAAAGTTCAAAATTTTATATTCAAATATCACAACCAGCATCAATCTTGACTATGACGATTTAAATGATTTGAGATATCTGGAGAAACTGCCATATCTATGATGTGTAATTTACAAATTGTTTATTATATACCATGCAATAACATTATATATATATATACATATATATACATATATATAATGTAATATATATATATATACGATTTGGAGTATATATAATAAATGATTTGCAGTATCTGAAGAAACTGCCATATGTGAAAAGTGTAATTAGTAATTAGCATATTAATTACTATATACAAACAGTTACACTATATATATATATATAAATATAGTATAATAATGTATATATAAATTATATTATAGTAATAAAAAAGATATATATTATGTGTATATTTTTTATTACTTTTATATATATATAAAATAATAACAGTGTATATATAAGTTTTACACATTATTTTTTATATAATAATTACACAAGTGTATTCAAATATCTGTGTTTATAATGTGAATCGATTTAACGAACAATGCATTTTTTCAGACATGTATAATTTAATAACTATTCTTTAATTAACTGTCAAATATTTTACTGCCATTTTATTTTTTTTATTATGTTTTTATACTTATGTATCTCTGTCATAATATTTTAAGCATTTTATGAACTTTGAATTTGACATTAAAACTTTTCTGGAGACAATGTCCAAAATGTAATGGGCAAATAAAAATTTGTAAATTTAAATATCAACTAGATTGATTTTAAAATTATTGTGTGAGTAATTGGCTCTAACAAATACAATACGAGTGTAAAATTGATACATTACCATTAATAAATCAGAATGTTAAAATAAATGAGTTATAATTTATTCCATCCAAGATACGTACAATTTTCTTTTGCTTATTAATGAGAAATGTCGAGAACCCAAAAATTTTGATTTTATTGAGATTTTTCGTGAATGAAGTAAATACTTTAATATAAAAATTTTCAATTCGTACCAAAAACAATTTTGAGGTGTCAAATCATCTTTCAAAGATTTAAGGACTTTTGACTTTTTTCGATATATTTTATGAACTACTTAAGAATCTCAAGTTGAGATATTAAATAATGTATCATATGAAAGTTTTATAGTTTGAACACTTGTATTGCGACCAATAACATCTTGAAAAAATAATTTTTTTAATTTTGTCTTTTGCATTATATGGAAGAGAATCTTTTAATATGACAAAAAAGTAAATTTAGTGTAAATATATTAATAGTTATTTATATACAACTGCAATAATTGAAAAAAAGGTTCTTGTGTGTATTGAACAGAATGCATCAAGATGCGCGTCGTATCTCGTGTCCATCTGTTCTACACCTAACGCTGTGATGACGATGTGAGCTTTCACACTATATATTTTTAATGCATTTATTATTGTAATACATGAAGATTATTATGACACAATTTAGCAATACAAATATGTTTATTACAATTATTTATTACACGCATCTTGATGCATATTTTGTTCGTTTTCTTTTAATTATTGTAATTGTATATAAATAATTTTTAATATATTTAAAATAAAATTATTTTTCTACTATAATGCGAAAGATATTCTTTCTCATAAAGGATGCAAAAATTAAAAAGAATTATTTATTTCAAATTTTATTGGTCGCAATAAATAGAGACGTTTGAACTATAAAACTTTTATTCAGTACATTTTTTGATATCTCAAATAGTCAAATATAATATATCGATTAAAATCAAAAGCATTTAAATCTTTGAAAGGTGGTTTTACTTTTTAAAATCGCTTTTGATAACAAATAAAAATTTTTATATTCTTGTATTTACCGCATTTATATATGTGCAAAGTTTCGTTGAGATTAAAAATTTCTGGGTTTGCGAGATTCACCAGTTAGTTATTTGCACTTTGTCGCATAAAACAGTCAGAATCTCTTCATCAAATAAAAACAATTAAGTAAGAATGAGAATGGAAATAATTTGAAAAATTGATGAATTTTCAAGCAAAATGTATATTGTGAGCAGCTACTTATATGATTGCAATATGAGCAACATATATGAGCATTTCAAAAATACAGATGCAAATATAAAAACATACATAGGAAAGTTTAATGGATCTGGCTGCAATAAAATTGTCAATTACACATTAATCGCGACATACAATATTTATAGAAGAAGAATGTTCCAACTTTATATGGAAGAAAACACATGGAAGTATATTACATAGGATAATTATTGTGTGCAGTGTATGGAGTGTGATCGGATCTTAAAGCTCATTCTTATGTTAGTTCTTCTGGTCTAACAAGCGCATGCTCGAAAGACATCTATATACATGAGCAGTGGAATAACACATCGTAAACAGAGAGAAATAAACGTGTCTGGGCCATCAACAAGCATAGAACGATAAAGGGAAAGCAACGGTAAGTTTTATTAGTATTATTATATTAGAAATTTTTATTAATATTAGTTAATCTTACGTTGCTTTTTTTATTTTTTACTTTTTTAGTTATTTGCACTCTATCGCATAAAATGGCCAAAATGTCTACACCAAACAAAGAAGAAGAATGGGAGTGGAAATACTTTAAAAAGTGCCAAGATTATCAAGCAATATGTCAATTGTGTATGAAAGTTCATACGAAAATTATTTATTACGATATGCAATTCGTGAATCTTCATTTCAAACTAAAACATCCATATATACAAACAATTGCTAAATCTCGTTGGATAGATGAAAAATTCAGAATTAGAAATTCATACGTGCAATGTTTTCTATGTCGTAATTTATTCCCAGTTTCGACGTTAACGTCAGAATTAAGCAGACATTTATTAACTGAGCACAATAGAATTCTAGAAGAAGACACATCTTATCACATGAGCTTTTTTCGTCGGTATATGTCAGAGCATGATGAGTACAATAAGTCTTTGCGGTGTAATATATGTTATGAGTTTATAGAGTTTATTTCTACTTGTCGCCTGAACAACCACATATTCAGAAGCCACAGAAATAAATGGAAGAAAGAATATATCAAAGCAAGACAAGAGTGTATATAAAGGAAACTACTTAGGCTATCAAGAAGTACACAATGTTAAAGAAGGGACAATGGTAATTTTTATTAATAGTATTATATTAATAATGTTTACTTTTCTTAAATAATACTTAATATAAACTTATATATGTATATTATGTACATATCACAAATCAAACAATGAACATGTCTTTTTAACAAATATTATAAAAAATTTTCATAGGTTTATCTAGAACAGATTTGACAACGATTGTACATTCAAATATCAGGACCAGCAATAGCAACAATCTCGATTAACAATTTTATTACAAATATTTGAATGCATTTACGGCGACGACATTTATCTCATAATAAAATACTTGTAAAGGAAGATGGCATGTCTCATTTGAGCTTCAAGTTAAAGCATAGGTAGCATGATGATTATTGCGCACATTGCAAAGAGTGTGGTTGGATCTGAAAGTTTAGTTCTTTGTGTCATATAAACAAGTACATATACTCGAAAGATATCTAGGCACACGCGTAGTAGAACAACACCACACAGATATACAAACAGAAACCAATGTGCCTAGGCTATCAACAAGTACACGACGATAAAGAAAAAGCAACGGTAAGTTTTATTAATACTATTATATTAGAAGTTTTTATTAATTTTAAAGCATTATCATATGTTACCACGTTCGTTCTTTTTTTCTTCTTACTTAGTTATTCGATATTACCATTGCATAAGCCGGCCAGAATGTCTACACCAAACGATGAAGAAGAATGGGAGTTGGAATATTTTGAAAATCTGAAGAATTTTCGAGCACAATGTAAATTGTGTCCACGTTCTAATCGAACCATTTGGATGTACCGAGATATGAGGAAGGTGAATAAGCATTTCAGAAATTGCTGCCATCCAAATGTAGACATGAATAGAAATGTTCATCCGAAATGGGATTATTTCAGAAAAACTGACGATTCGCGCATGAAATGTAATCATTGTAATAAGAGATATGCGATCACAACTCCAAGCAAAATGCTGAATGCACATTTAAATAAGAAACATGACATACATGCAAATTTAGAAATACATTTTCAATCGAGTTTTATGTGGAACTATATTATAGAGCTTGATAAAGATACTGTGATGTGTACTGACTAATGCTACGATTAAAGTTGCTTGTCTGTGTGCTTTACGTAATCACATATTTAGTAAACATTCAAATGTGTTGAAAAAAAATCAAAATCCACAAGGATAAACCAATATGCCTGAGCAATCAACAAGTGCACAACGTTAAAGAAAAAAAGAACGGTAAGCTATAATATTATATTTGAACTTTTTACTTTTCTTTAGTCAAGCTTAATATACTTTTAGTGTGTGCATACCTCCAATAAAATAATTAATATGCTTTTCTAATAAGTATTTAAAAAATTCTCATAGATTTATCTCATCCAAATTTGACAAAGGTTTTACATTCAAGTATCACAACTAGCATCAATCTTGACTATGACGACTTAAATGATCTGAGATATCTGGAGAAACTGCCATATCTATGACATGTGTAATTAGCATATTATTTATTATATAC